TATGCAGCTTTGTTCTCGTCTTTATTGTGTTCTTCATTTATAAGCCCTACATTTTATCACTTCTTTGAGAAGGAATAAATGCTGTTTTTTATTTATCTCTGACTTTGTTGCACCTTATTACATTTCCGTAACAAACCACTTATAACTTTCACCAACAAGTTACTGTTATGAACTTCATTTTTTATTTCTTTTGCATCAACTAAGAAATGACTTTTTATTAAAGTAATTGATAGAGAAAATTCTATTCTAGCGTAATAGTTGAGCTCTAATTAGATGACAGACAAAATTTATATGATTGTTAAATTCAGTGCATTAAACAACAGGTCAACAGTATTTAGTCAATAAGTTAGCAAATTTTGGCAAATGCTTGATAAACTTCTAGTTGGTTTATACCGAAATGAGTTCATGATGGACATGCATGAAGTAAGCGTATAAAGGCAATTGAAGCTTTTTTGATTCTTCTCAGCTAATGAGTCATATCATTTTTTAAACTGTTCAAGAAATTTTTGACTATTATTCTGAGCTTTTTGTGTTTTGAATCGGAATGATTAAGCTTAAAATTACTGACGGCTAGCTAATCACCGTTTTTTTAAAATGCTCTCATTTATAGATTTTGGATTTGGGTCAAGAAACAGTAGTTACCTTTGTTAAGCGCTTTCTTATTGTTATTTTAATTTTCTAACTTTCTGTACTTTATTATATCGCAAGCTGTTTTTTTGTGAAGGGTTTTTTCACCGTTGAAAAGTTTTAGTCTACGGCTGAAGCACTAAATGGTACTCTCTGATTTTTCTGCTGAAACTTGGGAGCAAATCGTTTTGTGTTTCTACCAAAAGAAATTAGTATAAATAACTTTATTGGCTTCGGGCATTATTAGGTAAAAGTTGTTCATCAAGCGGTTTTTTTGCAAAATCTAAACCGTTTTAAGTCTCTCTTAAAATGGTTTTATTTCGAAGGTTAGCAGAATTTTTACTCTTAAATGCGCGTAACTATTTTACTCTCAATCGTTAGACTGAAGGTTCATCTGTTTCGCTACAGTCAAACTTCTTACAAAGTCTGTAGTGGCAAGAGTTTAGAAATTATGGATAGTCAGCAGGGAAGCGGTATCGCAGTAGAAAAAGTCGGTACAAATTACTATGACTTGAATGATATTATTGCCTGTAATTCAAGTGTTAGCTGTTCATTTGGTCGCACTAATCCTAAAGGTTTGAGATGTTTTTGCACTTTTTTTTTCAATTTGATTAATCTTGCAAATGATGTGCCAGATCGAAAAAAAATTAAGGAACACGTCTGGAGAAACATTCCTCTGCAGCTTGTCATTTTAGGTATTTTGGCTTTAACCGGCCAATCAGTTACAAACTTGAGCGTTAGTAGAGGGTACAGGGCTGACATCCCACTCTTTCTGGCACAAACCGTTTATAGAACAGGTCTTGGAAGGGTAAGTTTGGTGTAAATGATAGGCACTGTCAAAAAGAAAGATTGCTTTCAGTTTTAGATTCCATAATTGGCTTTTTATTTTACGTTTTTAGATCTATCTAACTTTTCCGTTCAATAACCGTGCACAAGATGTGCTTCAAGCAGACCCCGAAAATATTAATTTGGAGGCTCTCCACCAACATTTCTATCGGACAGGGCAACGTCTTGCAGTAATTGCAGGCATGCTTTCCACTCTCTTTTGTTTAGTTTACAGTATGCATAACTTTCAAGTCAATGAACTGAAATTATAAAAGAAGCAGCTTCTAGAAGGCGAAGCAGAGCGACTTGCAGAAACACTGCTGAACACGTTTCTGCGTCGCCTACCTAAGATAATAACCACGGCGGTGAACAGCTATGCTAAGCCAAGAAAGTTGGACAGTATTGAGAAACGGATACATGCGATTGGAATGTATACGGAAGCTTTAATGACTGACTGGTTTGATTTTATTGAGGAAGGCTGTAAAAGGAGAGCAACTTCACTGAAACTTTCCTTATAATCAGTCATTTCTTACTCTATAGGATTATTCAATTATGACTATTACCGTAATTTCCTATCATTACTATAGTTGTATCAATGTTGAATAATGTTAGGTATTATCATCGATATAGTCTTGAAAAGCCAGTGTATTCTGTAAAATAATTTGCCACTGAAAATAAAGTAATGTTTAGTTAAATTTGGTCTCGTTAGAGGAACTGTGATAATATATTACAGTATTTTGTGTTTTTCGAGAAATTTTAAATTGAATTTCACACTTGTTTACTGTCTTTGACCTAAAGTTGTTGGCAGTAAGAATTTTCATTGCACTGTTACACAGATTCAAAAAAGTTATTGGTTGATAAAGATTAGACTGGATTCATTTAGCCACTTGCAACAACATTTGATGCTTAATTGTTTGCGTAAGTTCAGTCGGGAATTGGCTGCGGATTTTTTTTTTTTTTTTTT